GACGACTTGGATGGGGGCTTCTGCCACTCTCTTGAGTTTCCAGTGACACCTTTACTCAGTGAAGCCTATAAATTTGAAACCTCATTCTGATCAGCCTGATGCGTCTGTGGTGTTGCGTGGAGGTGCCTAATGTCCATGCAAACACAGAGGACAGGCGTATTACATAGCAAGAGTAGAGGTAGGCATGCCTCTGTTTTTTGCATCTGCAGAAAGTGCGTCAGAATGAAAGCACAGGCCCATAATGCAAGATGTGAGTTTTAAAGAAGGCAAGTCTGGTTCTCCTCGGCGAGGAAATAAAGTGTCGGGAAGCTCTCCGTGGTAACATGCTAACACCTGGGCTCAGCTTCAAGTTATTGAAACAGAGCAAAGATAAACTGTCCTCATTATTACTTTAATTTACAGCCACAGTTGTGCTCTGCAGTGAGATGTGATGTCAGACGCAAAGCACCGAGAGCCCATATTTCAAAATGCCTGGCTTCTGTGTGTGCTTTCCAAACATTTAGTGAGCCAACAGAATCATGTGTGGTTTTTATCCGTACATATACTTTTGTGCACGAGGGCCCGTGTGTGGCTAACAGTTGACCATGACCAAAAGTTAACCAACTTCACAAAAAAAAAAAAAAAAACATGGTGGCGGCTGTGTCATGCGTTGAGAATGAATTTATTTAGTAAATGCTGAAGAAGAATTGAAGATAATCCTGAAATCTTTACTTTCATTTTTAGGAAATTAAATATTTCCTAAAACAGCTTCATTGGTCCATGAGAAGGGCTGAGTTAGGAGAGCTGTTGAAAAGAAAGAGCTCCTTTCAGAAATCCTATTCCAATTTCCACCCTCCTCTCTTTGCTGTTTGTGAAGCGCCCCTTTTCTGTCGAACTTCAAACCCTGATTCCAAAAGGTCTAGGGAACCTTATAGATCAATGAAAAGGGCCAAAGGGTGAAGAACATGAGGAAAGTTCAGGACGTGAACAAAGAACAAAGCAACTGTCTGATTTCTTTTCAGTTTTGTGTGTCTTATCCTGAAAGGTTGATTTGGCTTATAGCTAATTTACGCACACGGTTATTTTAGGCGACTCCACCTCCCACGAGAGTGAAACTCTCACTTCAGGGTTTTCCATCCATAGAAACATCTCCATGCAACCTTAAGGATCCCACAACACTAAAACCACACCCTCTCTTTGCTCGCAGATACAAAACACCCTCTGATTTGTCTGCATTTAAATAGACAAACCCTAATTTGAGATTCAAATGCTTCATCAACTTCCCTGACATGCGAGACAATTGAAAACATTTTGTATTGACGAGAAAAATTGTCAAATGGCTTCCTTTTAGAGAGTGACGCTATGACACAGGGAGCTCATTGGCAGCCAGTTATCATCAAATCAAACATGACAAGAGGGAGGCAGAGGCATCAGACAGAAATAACCTGTTTCCTGCCTCCTGTTTGTCTCCGGCCAGATGATGACTCTTTAAAAAACAAGAGGCCAAAGGGCCACGTTGCGCGGCCCGGTGTGAGGCCGTCATTTGACAAGGGTCTCTGTGGATTCTGTCTTATCATCATGTTTGGTATGCCTTTCAACTTGGAAATACCCTCAGAGAGGAGGTTAAGAGAGGCACGGATGGGCAAACAAAGAGGGTTCATAATAAAGCAAATGGATTGAAGAGGGTGATGGTTATTTACAAAACTACTCTTCCTCAAGCCAGACAGTTGGACCCAGAGGAGTTGTTGTTATCTTAGAGGAGCAGAGTGTTGTTTGCAGGGTGATTCTGGCACACGCTTCTCTTAAGAGCTCTCCAAAAGGTTTCTCTCACTTGATTTTGAAGGATGGAGAAGTGCTCCACTCATCCTGCCATCGGCACCCACAACCCTCCTCCTCCTCTTCCTCCTCTTCTTCTTCCTGCAACAACTCCTCTTCACCCTGCCCCCCCATCCACGCCCCTCTGCCCCTGACCACTGCCCTGCTCACCCCTGCGCTCAGGGACAATGGTTCACTCTAAAAGAAAAGCAGGAAGAAAGAGGATCCCAGTGTCACAGAACTGCCTGTTTGGCGACGGAATCTTTAAAAGCAGCACCTCATAAATCAAAAAAGAACATAATGGTCATTGTTTCTCCAAGAGCTACTTGTTCCTCTGAAATTCCCCTCCTTTTTTTTTTTGGGCAAAAAGAGTAAGCAAAGTCAGAGGTGGGGATTTTTTATTAGTGGGGGTCCTTTTCTTGTCGATTTGGCACTTTTAGGAGTTTCCTTACCACTTTTCTTTCTCTCTTGCTGTCAGACCATCCCCTTGCTTTGTGCTCCTTCAACCCCCCAACAACTAGATGTTTTCTTTTTTTTTTCCCTCACAAAAAAACATTCCCTGAGCTTGGATCAGCATAATCTGTCACTTTGCACATTGTAACCCAGGCCTCCTCCCTATCTCCACTCTGCATTGTCACGTTGAAATCGGATTAAATGGGAAGCCATTTGCTTTCTCTGGTTAGTCGTGGACTCTTTTTGTATGTTGGCACAGGGAAGGACGAAAATCTTGAAGCCGGTATCGCCATTGTGCATCAAGAGAATGACAAACATCGAGGCATGTTTGGGTCGTACTCCTTGATGTGCTGCATAAACAGTTTGAGTCTTGGTCCTGCAGCTTTTTAAAAGCATTTTTTTTATCTGCAAAAATGGGGTTCTCCATAAAAAAACATGAACCGGATCTGTTTTGATTACAATGGGCTACTAATGAGCCTCTGCATTTGATTTATCCACCCCTCTGACGTGTCAGTAATCAAGATGATGTTATCATAATTAGATCACTGGGGCTGCATTAGGATTACACAAATCTGCCAACACCATTTCCATAAAGCATTTTAATGGCTACCTAGCAATACCTCTGACACTTCTCTCCCTCCACACCTCAAAACAGAACCTTTTTCATTGAGATCGTTGCGTTTTCATGTGTTTTTGGGAGCAGCGGCCCAAGCTCTGGGGACAGATTTCAGGATAGTGGGTGTGCATAAATTCACCTTTCAGTCTGTAAACATATTGTTTAGGATTACAAAGGATTAATTGTATTTGTCTTTGCAGCGGTGTCAAAACAGTAGAATGAGTGTTAATCTTGTCTGTGACAGTGTACAACTTGATATCAGTGTTTTCTGTTTTCACTAACATCCCTTGTCTTTTGGTCCTGCTAATTTTTTGATTTTTTTTTTCTGTTTTAGTTTCTTTAGATTTTGGCAAAATTCTATTTCCTAATGTTATCCCTATTCCTAAGTACTTAATTAAAAGTCACAAGAAAGCATTTAAATAAGCCGATAAGTCATTATTTGTCACCAAGATCAATAGGCCCCACATATGAAGTGTAAAGTTATCTAATTAGCAGATTTGGTCTTCAACAATAGGTGTTACCATTAGGTAATAACATTTTCATCAGCAACTTTACAAACATTTTCTGGATTTTATGAGGAGGCTTTATGGAAATCACAGCCCTCTGTCTAAAGAGTCCCAAAGGATATTAGAGACTTTTTATGCAACACTCAAGGTACTTTACTGAACTTAGCAGGTTCGTTTATGGAAATTATTGCTCACTCCTTCAGAAATTACTAGGTAAATTCAGAGGTTACTGGAAACTGCCTGTATGATTAGGGGAAAGTAATCAAAATACATTGGCCAATTAAGGTTATTAAAGTGACCTTTAAGTTTCCCGAAACTACTCTAAATGTTAAATTTACCTGAGAGAGTTTCTGTTAGGTTATAGGAAAGTAGCCAGAATGCTCCACAGAATAAACTCTCATTTTAACAAAAGTTCAGGTTTTATTATAGTAGTTAATATGGTAGTAAATGGTTCATTTAGAACCATTTACCGCAATACAAAACAAACTACAAGAAAATACACCAAAATTCACCATAAAATAATTTTGTTTGTATTTGTGTGGCATATCTTAAAAAAATCAGAGAGCTCATACCATGAACCATTTTCAAAAAAAAAAAAATGATTCATGCTACATCAAAGTATCTGTGTTCCTTTCTGATCCAGTTTGTCAAAATGGGAAAGGGAACTTCAGATATAGGACAGCTCTTAACACTGACATCATAATGAAACCTCTGCCTTTAGTCATTACTTCTGCAATCCAGTGCTGGAAGAAAAAAAGAAAAGAAAAAAGAAAAACACATTCTTTCAAGTAACACTTCATTATTCCTGCACATTTCAAAGCCTTTCAAAGAAAAAGCCATCTCATATCAGATAAAATTAAATCCTTTTTTTGTGTGTGTATGTTGCAATGCTATCAACTTTCTTGGCCAATTTCTTTTTCTTTATGTTATATTTATTTTTTTTTTATTCTTTGGTGAGGCACAATTGCCAGCAGGCGAATCAGTAATGGATATTATGTGGTATATAAAGTGGAGCTAAGCACTTTTGGGCATCCAGTAAATAGTAAGCATTTCCATAAAACTATAATAAGAGAAAAATATAGAAAATATCAAAAGTCAGTCTGATGTTTTTTTTTTTGTTTTTTTTTTGGCTTAACAAAAAATTATTTGGCACATATAATTAGACACATAAAGAAATTAATCCTAAATGTAATTAATTTGTTTTCTATTGCTTTCAAAACTTCTAATGATCAAATGATCTGCAGTACACTTTACATATTTGGGCTTAGAACATGAATTGGAACTCGATCTAAAAGAAATCGGTATCAACTCTACTTTCTCTAAAAAAGTTGAACTCAAGATTGGCCAATTTCAAAACCCGCCACAGCAGCTTCACTGTGGTTGGTTGGATGTAATAATGGGTTTCAGTCTCTTGTCAGAAGTGAGATATCTTATGAGTGACTAAGCTTGTTGATGTTGGAGTGCTGCCTCCACTAATAGGTTTTTAAGCCCGGCAACAAGGCTAAACAGGCTCAGTGAGTCATTGATTACAGAACACAGAGCACTCCATCAAGTTGATTACATTATGCAAGACCTTTCTCAGATTTGTTTCCCCTCTCTAAACATTTTTATGTATGCTTTTTCTTCTTCAGGGATCTGATGCCGAAAACCCTGGAGGGCCAGATCACCATGGAGAAAACACCCAGCTACTTTGTGACCAGAGAGGCCCCGGCGAGGATATCGGCCATGTCCAGAGATACCAAACTGATCGTGGTAGTGAGGGACCCCGTCACCAGAGCTATCTCTGACTACACACAGACTCTGTCTAAGAAGCCCGATATTCCCTCTTTTGAGAGTCTCACCTTCAAAAACAGGACTACGGGGCTCATTGACACCTCATGGAGCGCCATCCAGATCGGCATCTACGCCAAGCACCTGGACAACTGGCTGCAGTACTTCCCCATGGACCAGATCCTCTTTGTGAGCGGCGAGCGTCTGATCAGCGACCCGGCCGGAGAGCTGGGCCGCGTGCAGGACTTCCTGGGCCTCAAGCGGATCATCACAGACAAACACTTTTACTTCAACCAGACCAAGGGATTCCCGTGCCTCAAGAAGGCAGAAGGCAGCAGTAAGCCCCACTGCCTGGGAAAAACCAAAGGGAGAACCCATCCGAACATTGATCCCGAGGTGGTGCAGAGGCTACGGGACTTCTACAGGCCCTTCAACATGAAGTTCTACCAGATGACAGGACATAACTTTGGTTGGGATTGAAGTCAAGAAAGACTTTCTTTTTTTTAATTTTATTATAGGAGTTTTTTTTTTTTTCTATGTAATTCGTTGGCAAAAAAAAAAAAAGGTGGAGATATTCCTATATATATGTAAAATGTACAGAAATCTATTTTATAATAATTTATTTTTATTTCTAAGCAATTAATTCACTAAGCTGCCTAACCAGATTTGTACATAACATCTGACTCATGTGTTATTTTAACATTCCTCATCTTAGGTTGGATTTCTCTGTCTCCCCACCTGTAGTCCTGTAAATTCCTGGTGCTGCACAACGCAGTTGATCAGCAACGACTGTTGTCGAAAATGTTTTAGAATAACTACTAAGGTAGAGATGCATCTATCATCTATCAGAATTGCCCGATCGATTCCCTTGATCATCTCTGATCTATTGATATTTTTTCGCACTATTAATTAAATGCATCATCACAAAGAATTCCCTCTTTTAAAACTCAAAATACACAAGCAAACTGTGTGTATTTTGATTCATTTTTTTTTTTTTTTGCTGTTTAAAGATAAAGATTGGAGCTACATGGTTTTATGCATTAAATGGGAACATTTTTTAATCCCTTCATTTTTTGTTGGATTCAAAACTGCTACCTCTGTTTTATAACTTTTATGTGTTATTTCCCCTTTGTAGAAAAATTAAGATCGGCATGTCAGATTTAAGTATATATCGGTATCGGCTTTGAAAAGCGTGATCGGTGCATCTCTATGTAAAAGGCGCCATATTACGGGTACAGAGTGCTCACAGAGAAGTGGAGAGCACCTATTTATGTGCATTCTCAGTTATAGTTGTTGTATAACTCCATCCTGTCACAATGTGCTTCAGTTCATTTATACAAACCGGTTTTCAGGTTCCTGCATAGGCCTGAGCAGCAGAACTCATCCTATTCCACCCAGTAACTGGTTGATCAATAGACCTAATTGATACTCATTGTGTCACTCACGCTTAAAGTATACAGCTGCCCTTTTATTTTCAGTACTTCTGCTGCCTGCTCTAATGAGTGACCCATCCATCAAACACTAAATCCCATCTCGGACCGCGTAAGGCTCTATGTCAACATTATGCTAATCGGGTAAAGGTAACTGGCAGATCGATCAGGCCTCCCAGTTCACTGCTTCACTGGCTCACAGCCAAGCTCCTGCCCTATCTGCTCAGAGCAAAGGTCACGCAAAGTCTCAATCAAATTTCCTTGAGAGGCATTTGATTTGTTGAGGAGAGGGAAGCGGGTCAGAGGGAGTGCATGCCTTTCTGTTCACTGTGAAATGGAAAACCTTTGCAGGTGGCTGGAGATGCATATCTGCAAGAGGTCTAGCATACAGATAGGGGAGCTGAGAAACACAAACGCCTCACTTAAATGCCACTTGTTCAAACAGAAGGAGTCCTTGTGGCCTGGTTATTGTTCACAGGCTAACCAGTTCAAAGGAAGTTTTCACATTGCAACCTTGAATTTTCGTATGCTTTTTATGTGACATATCAACACAAATTAGTGGACAATTGTAAGTTTCAAAGAAAGATGTGTGAGTTTCAAAAGTTTTACTAGTGAAAGTTTTTCAAGTGTGTCATGAATTTGTGCTCAGTCCCTTCTGAGTCAAAAACGTACAAAAATCTTTTGATACACATTTATAGAATGACTTTTGCCTTCTCATAGCAAAATATCTAAAGTTGAGTCAAATTGGATGTAGAGCATTTATGACTTTTCAAGACTTGCCGCAGACTCTCAGTTTGATTTGAGTCTCTACTTTTTCATCCTCTTCCACGTTTCAGGTTTGCTCAAACCAGCTTCTGCAGAAAAGAATCCCAACATCATGATGCAGCCACCATCGTGTTTCAATGTGGATATAGTGTGTTCAGTTATGTGCATTGTTTTATCTCAGCCTCATGTAGCCGTTAGCATGTACACACACAGCACACTTTTCAGAAATTTGTAAATTCAAGTTTTGAAAAGTAATTTTTCCTTCATTTTGCAATCATTCACCACTGTTTGTTGGTCTCACACAATAATTATTTTAATGTAACACAATGTTTAAAGTTCAAAGGGTATAAATACTTTTGCAAGACACTAACTATACTTTATGCCTTATCTATATGTTATATGTTCACCTTTCACCAACGCATCTCAAATCTCAACTTGTTGCCAAAAAATATTTTTAGTTGCTGTCACGTTTTACACAATTTACTCACTATCTGCTTTTTTTTCCCCCTTTAGTTTGAGTTTTTCTCTTTCTACTTGAATTCTTGATATGCAAGATTGTGAGGATGTGAAGTTACCACTCTTTGACATTCTGCAGCGGGGTAACTACAAAGGCACAGAGTGGCATTTATGTGACATACTGTGCAAAACTATGCTATGCACACCCAGTGTAGTAGTCGTTTTTGTAAATGCGGAAATTATAGGAAGGGATTGTCAGCATCCAGACAGGGTTTTATGTGTTTACATAGAGCTCCAGCTGAATGTACACAAGTTATACTCGCATTAACTTTAAAGGTAATATTGTCACTCCACCGCCCAGTTTATCCATTTTTTTTTCTATTTTTTACATTTTGTGCCTCTCTAACCAACTCAATTAACTTGTTTCTTTTATTTAAGCAAATGGTCACTAAACTGGTTACTTCTCCTCTTTTCAGTTGAAACTAACTGCCTCCACCCAACAGCTGGTAGCAGGGGGAATTTTCTTTTTCTTGTGCTTTCTTTTGCGTTCACTCTGAGTAACAATGCTCCAAATGATTACTAGTCTCCAACAACCCCTCACTAGTGCAATGTTTGAGCATTTATTGATGACTTCTCCTATCAAACCGTCCTGTTCTGGAAGGTAAAGCCAGATATCTTCCTTAAGACTTAAAGGTGTACTGCAGTTAACTGGAGGATAAAACCGATAGTCATTGGTGACCTTCGGCTTGCTGCATTGTTTATGGTTGAGTTTTATTCAACCTGTTCTAAGATCTAAAACTGTTAAAAATGTTTCTTATCTGCATATGATATGATTTAGACTAGCAAATCTGTATGTACAAAAAAAGGAAGAAAGACATGAAATTCAAGTATTTTGTTGTATGTACATCAAAGAAATTAATTTTACACAATGAAAAAGCAAAATGGAACAGATGTTTCTAGATGAATCAATAATGAACATTCATAATATTTCTTTTTATGAAGAAATAAAGTATATATTTTACCAAACTAGCATCGAAGTGTCTTTTCTTTCCTTCCTTCATTTTCCTACAAAAGGCAAATATGAGTTTAGTGCTGATTTTGGCACAACTTTACCAGAGGTGTCAGTGAATGTGAAAGGTGCTATTGATGCCAACTATGCCTGAAACTAAAACTGACTATTCTTTGACGACGTCCAAAGGTTTCCACCCAAAAATAAGAGACACATTAGCAAAATATATGTTGGGGTTTTTACCTATGAGAGCCCACAGTGAATTGTAATGCTCTAGAAAAATTACACTCTGGTTAGTTGAGACCACCATTGAACTGCTCGGCTTGCATGCAACACATTATAATTGGTTGAAAACTAACACTGCACATCACTGTGAACATTCCATCCATACAAATACTCTAAACATGGAGCCAGATGCCACAGCTGCTATGAGGTTCATTTCCAAGAATGTTTGTTTTTGCTCATATAAAATGAATCCTTTGTTCTTGTACAAAAACACACACACATATATATATAAAGTGCATGCATACATATATATTTTATATATATGTATGCATGCACTTTCATATCACCAATAACAACAGCTCTCTGTGTTTACACAGACTTCTCTTGCATTCTGCCCCTAAGGAGATCTGTACCAGAAGGCCACACCTGGGCTTCACATGTTGACTATTTTCCAGACAGTGGAATAACTTGCATCAAATTCCTTTGAGACCTCTTTAAATTTACTCATAACCACCGTCTTTCCAAATGTCTCAGACAGCTCTTTTGATCTTTCCATGGTGTTTACTCTTTCAGCAGTTGGAGGCATATGAAGCTAAATGTTTAAACCGCCTTCAAAATGCTAACTAATGATATTCTAACTGTCTGCATTGTGATTTAATGCTTAAATCCTGAATCTGCACAGGGTGTTTGTTGGTAGCTAAATCTGTGACCATGAGATAACAGGCAGACATCTGTTACTTAATGGTGCATTGTCCCTTAAAAAACAAAACAAAAACACAACTAACATAAATAAAGAACAAATATGATATAATTTGAATGCCACTGTGCAATTTTAGATATGTTGAAAGTGGGTAACTTGATTTATTACAAAGTAAAAAAAATAAAATTAAACTAAAATTAAAACTGACATTAAACAATGACAATGAGCTGCATAATTAAAGGATTTGTGTCTTTTTTGTCAGGGATGAATGTGAATTCATAAGTAGTTTATATTAAGTGTAGAACTCGTCTCTGTGCATGCAATTGAAATTTCTGGATGAAAACAAATTATCGTCACAATGTCCACTGCACAGGCCACAAAGCAGGTTCTAGTTATTTCTTCAGATCGCGACTCTTTTTTGAGTGTATTCATCAAGGTAGGATGTTTTCTGATTTTTCTTTTTGTTGTACGAAGACAAAATAATATGTCAAACATGAAATTCTTTTTTCTACTAACAATTATACAATTTCGATTAATGAGGGCTTAGTGTCCTATTTAGTGTTATTGGCCACACCGGTTTTACCGGGGTAGACAGTGCATACACCGGTAAAACATAAAAAAAAAAAAAAAAAAAATCAGCTTATTTAATATTTTCTATGTTTCTCACAGAATTAGAATATGGCACAAGAGTTGAGAAACCATGTTTAATAAGCAATACGACATTTAACTGATGCTTAACTGGCATGAAGTGGTCAAAAGGATTCCAAAAAAAGTATCCCCTACTACATCATTCTGCCTCCAGTCAAACTGCAGATACAAGGCAGACGCAGGCAATGTTTTTCCAATCTGTTAACATGTTTTCTCAGCTCCCAGCAGTGGCAACTGGTGCGGTCATTCGCATTTTCACCCAAATGACTGCTGCTTTCTGAGTTTTGCTCATGCAGGGCCCATTTCTGTTAAATACTCGGGACAGCCCACACCAAGAAACTTTCCACATTCAAATTCACTAAAACTTTCTTTGTCCTATGATTCATGATATACAGTAAACTGAAGCAATTCATCACCACTCAAAAGATGCCAAGATACATTTACAGTGACTCCTGCCCTGTCCCAAAAAGCAATTGAAGAGGTATACTGAATGTCTGAAGCTGGAAGAGGTCCGTGAGCATCAGCTCATGGATTTCAAAGTTTTTTAAAAAAATGCTTTGAACTAAGAAATTTTAACATTGATTTATGTCTTGATATGTAAAATCATGACTACTCATAAAACTGTAAAAATCCTCCCCAAAATACGCTTAGTTTGATGGAATAAATGACTTGGGCAAACATTTTGCCTGGCTTAAAAAATGTTTTGGCAAAATGGTTTTGTTTTCCTGTTTACTGTTCAGTGTGGCAGTGTGGTCGTGGAAGTGGGGGGTCTGTGTGGCTGACTGTGACCAAGGGCTGTGTGGGAGGTTTGGGCAGCTAGTAGTTCTGGGGGTCTGCCTGGATGTCGGAAGTGCACATCTCTGGTTACACACACCCTCGTCCCCTATAAAACCTGCCAGTGTTTATTTATTTATTTATTTTTTATGGCTCATACCATGGCTGTTTGTTTATGGGGCTGTGAAACACCTTAGTGTATTAACAGGTCTTTCATTCACAGTATCAGAGGTGATGCTGTTACAAACCTGCTCATAAGCAGAGATGTTAGTTTTGAATGTTCAGCAGTCTTCTTGGATCAAAAATATCCAAAATAATTGGATATATTATCCAATTAAATGAGTGAAATATAATTTTACAACCTTATCAGCTCAGATCAGTTTTTACCCTATTCAATACTGAAGCATCAGTTTCGAACAGAGCTTGATCCTATGTGAAAATATAACTTTTGTTTCAGATTTATTTATTTTTATTTTTATTTTTTTGTGTGATTCTTGACCAGGCCTGGACAAAAGAGTTTCAAAATGGGGTTTTTGGGTTAAAAGTCCTAATGAACAAATTAAACAGAGACCCAACTAACATTTCCTTAAAACTCACGATTATCCCCCCAAAATATTCTGTGGATTAACATTTCCAAAAGTGGAAATTTTTGGGAACCGTGTGCTGTCACATATGACATAAAACTAATGCAGCATTTCAGAAAAGGAAAAAAAAAAAAAAGAAACATACCCGCAGTGTAATGATTCAAGTACGAATCAAACCCAAAACCCATACCACAACCCAGGAACAGCTGAACGATCTTTATTTATACTTTGGTAAATGGGTTAGGTGATCGGCTTCCTGATCAGACTCTGTAGAGCAAAGTAGTGAGTGACAGGAATGAAAAGTAGTTTTGCCAAAACAAGAATTAATGGATTAGGCAACAGAGGTGGTTTTAGAAGAACTCATCCAGGGAGAATTGGACCAGAGTGATTCTTTTATTCTTGGAACTGTAGCTATAGAGGAAAATAAGTTGTCTGTTTATTGGGGATTGGTTCACAATCATGACTGTATGGAGGAGTTAACTCTATAAGCGACAAACTGAATCACTTCTCAGGATCCAGTTCTCAGAGGTTGTGCAGCAGAGCACATTACAAGTTCACCTCTGAATGGGATAAAAAAAAAAAAAAACCCGAATGAAGCTTTTGAAATGGCTCGGTCAATATAATTCAAATCAGACTGAGGAGCTTTGGTACCTCAGTTTGGTACCAGACTGTCCAGTGTGAATAATGTCCATCAGTTCTGCAAGACAAATCAGACAAATTTCCTGATAGTACAAATGATAATAACTGCTCCTCCCTAGAGTGGTAAATAGATTTACATTACCTTTTCTCTTAGGGCCATGTTGGTTTGGAAAGCTTTTACATAAACTATCATTTGTATACTTTTTTTGTGTTCACTCAGCTTTTCTTTAGTTTTCTGAAACTTGCAAGTGTGAAAAAAAAAGCAAAAACAGAAGAAATCAGTAGATTAATTTCTACAGTACATTTTTGTAAACAACTTTTATCTGTTCCCTCACAAAGCTACAAATAGATAAAAGTAAGATTTCAGGTTTCAAAGAAGTTCGGATATAAAAATTGCATGATATTGTGTGATTGGCATGTGACTAATAGTTTACCCTCATTAGCAGCATTTTAAAAGTATTTTTAGGGGTGATCTAGATTTTTAAAGTTGCCTTTAAATCATTGTTTGTTTTTTTTTTGAGGTCTCAGGGGTAAAGATGCTCTATATCTGTCTGCTGGATTGTGCTGATTGCTTGCATGTTCCTGTGAGACTGCCTAAAACAACCCCAACAGAGGTCTCACTTTTGAAAATGTAACTTATTCAAATATGGAGCAGTTAAAATGTTGAACCATATCAAATAGTGAAACTGAAATGAAACATATTAAGTTTTAAATTTACTGCAGCAGACTTGGATGGAAACATATATACATATTAGAGGATCTGGCCCAAATTGCATTTACTGAACATACTACAAAGGCATGTTCCCACTCTCCAAGCCCCAAGGATGACATGGTCTGTAATGAGTGGAACATGGCAGAAATCCCCCTGTGTGCATGCTGTTTTCAGTAAATACATAGGTGGGTAAAATTGAGTTTCTCATCAGTCAGACTTTACCCTAAGTGAATAACAAACATCAAAACAGAAGGTTTTCAGGGAATTTCCACTTTATTTTTCTGCCTTCATCATTCTCATATTTAATTATGAAACTTAATTTTAGGCACGCTGGACCAAAAGCAAGCAGACGTTACATGATTTTAAACCTGTTAGGATGCCAATGTCTGAACTGAAATACAGTTAGACCCGGTCTAAAAAAAAAAATACTCATCAATGTGTGCCTGGTAAATTGTAAGCTATGTTTCTGAACAACTTAACCTCCATTAGAAAGAAAGAAATTAAACATCATTCTATATTACAGAACAGCTGGTGACAGTGCAAACAGAGTTATCAGTGGATATTACAGAATAGTGTGAATGTGATATTGAAGCCCGGCTGTTTTCTCGAATCGAAGGCAGGTTCTGACATGCCGTGCTTCGCAGTTGATCACCTAATGTGAACAATTCAGGAACGTCATGATTGCTCAGCTGGAGTACTGACAGACATGCTGGAGAAGAATGCAAACAGGATGTGGTTG